TTTGTCCTTTGCTTACTATCCCATTTATTTTTACTATAACACTCATAACACACAAGGTAGAAATTAAGAAGCGGTATCTTGACGCGAGAAACGGATAGATAAATGCTATCGATGTTTTTTCTTTCTTATCTCAACGCGGCAGAGCTGTAAGCACCTGTACGTTCGCAAAGTAATAGGGTGACGTTATATGGATTCTATCGCGCTCGAACGTTGTGCTTGACATATATCTTATATATGCTGCACGAGAATATTCTCCAACTGAATTTTACGGAAATAAAAATGTCCCGCGCCTGTCGGGAGGCCAACTGGCACCCGATAATAGCAACGAGACATATACGCGGGTGTCTGTGTGTGTATGTGTGTATATATTATATATATATATATATGTGTACACACACACACACACACACACACACACACACACACACACACACACACACACACACATGCGCACGAGCGTGTCTCCATGTACGTCAATCTGTACAACGCAATATATTCGAAAAGACGCAAAGAGGAACGCCCGTATTAACGCTGCACATTTAACGTTAAACGCGTCTATCGTTATGAACGCATTTAACGACGAACGTGCCATTAGAATAGCGAGAGACACAATCGAACACACACACAATTCCATTGCATGATGGTCCCTTATAGAAATTGATTACTAGTATTAGCCAATTAATTTAAGTACTCTCTAAAACTTTAAGAGTAACTCTCACTCTGAAGACTGAAATCTGATGAGTTTTTTTTTACAATAAGCCATTAGTCCTCATATCATATTAGTGATAAGTTAGAATAAATTATAATTTTTTAGAAAATTTATATCCATAATAAATCATTATAGACCGTTATAACAATATTTCAATCCATCAGAATAAAGATAATTTTCAGGGCAAATAACAATACACTGTAATTAATTAGTCATAACGTAATCTATAAGTTTTTAATGAATTATAACTATGGGTAAATGAGAGTAAATAATGAATTAATGCATCTAAGTTTCAAATAATAAAAAATGGAATTTGGCCATCTTCACGCAGTCACTGATTACTGATTTATTTATTGTTGGTTTATAATACATTATTGATTCTCTCGCTTAAAACTCGTCCCTGACTTCTAATTTATTACTAACTTATTGTAAAAAGTCCATCACTCTTAAACATTGAAAAAATTAACTTTCTTCCAGAAAGTCTATCACTCTTAAAGATTGAAAATTGACTACTCTTCTCTAAGACTAGCTTAATTTTTATTCTTTAGAGTGAGATTCCACTCCAAAGAATTAGAGAATATTGAAAGTATCTTTAATGATACTTTCGATACTCGAAGTAAGTGATTAATTGGCCAGTACTATTATTAAATTTTTATGAGGGATTTCTCTCCTTCGGTTTTTCTACGATAAAATAACGAAGGGAAAATCTCGCTTCTGTGAACAATTTGGCTGAGCGACTCGAGCCTCTCGCTCTTTAAATGCGAAACATGGCAGTGACAATAAACGAAATCAGAAGTATACATTATTCTGTATACATTATTAATAATTTACGAAGGACGTTTGTCACATGTAGGACTCGGTATATAGCGACGGCAATTCTGTCGTTGTATTTCCTCCGAAAACGGCAGTGCTTGTGTTAATCGGATCATCCATGACACGCTCGCAACCGCAGCTGATCACAGCTACGATATTCTCACTGCAAAAATGTCTGGTTGAAAATAGACGAACCAGAAGATTCTGATTATTGCCATTTCTGTTCTTTAAATTCTTTGAAGTGGAATTTCACTCTAAAGAGTGAAAATTAAATCAATCAAAAAGAGACTCAATTTTCAATGCTTAATATACACATTTCTATTAATATAGATTAATTTTAATCTCAATTTAATTTACTCCTGATTCTTTTTTTAATTCTTAGAACTAAAAAAAATGAAGAGTTAATTAAATCGGAGATTAAAATTAAATTACATTAATAGAAACTGATATAAGAGAGATTTCACTCTAAAAATTGTACAGAATACCAGAGTAAATTAATTTTAATTTTGATTTAATTTACTTTTATCTTTTTTTAGTTCTAAGAATTAGAAAAAGAGCAAATTTTATTGAGATTAAAGTTAA